CAGGGCTGGACAGTCTCCTCCGACCCAGATACATGTCACCAAGGAGAGGAACAACAGAGAGTCCTCTGAGGGCTTACGTGAAGTGGAAAGTTCACAGAGAAGAGCACCTCATTTTGAGTGAGGGGCTTCCAGAGCACAAGAAACACGAGCAACGTGTGTGTGTGTATCTGCTTGGCCTGAGTGGAGGATGAACTCCATCTAGGAAGGAAACTGAGGGAAGAAAGAAAGGAGCTGCAGATGTGGAGGTGCGGGCTCCCCAAGGATGGGGCCCCTGGGCTGGGCACCTGTCACCCTGAGTTGGGCTGCAGATGATGCCATGACCAGGCTTATCCAGGCTGATGCCATGAATGGGGCCTCTGAGCTGGTATAGCAAAGTGAGAACCCTTACACCAGACTGACAGAGCTGGGACCCTGAGCTGTGCTGATGGAGGAGGTCCCAAGCCAGCTGATAGGATGGGAACTCTTGACGCAGGTGGATGGAGGAGATCCTGAGCTGGGCTTAAGGAGGTGGGCTTGGAGGTCTGGACTGTGGTTGTTAGGTGTCATTGAGTGGACTGTGATTCCCAGAGACCCTATGACCAATAGATCAGAACCTTGCCCTGTCCTGTGCCATCTGTCATGCCCTGATGCCATTGTTACAATCAATGTGTCAGTCTATCCTCTTGAGAGTATCCCTTCCTTCCTCTGACCTTTCACCTTTCCCAGCATGGAGTCTTTCTCCAAAGACTGACAACATGTCCAAAGCATGGGAGACAGAATTTCCCCATCCTTGCCTCTCAGGAGCACTCTGGCTGCACTTTTTCCAAGACATATCTGCTTGTCCTTTTGGCAGTCCATGGGATATTCAATACTCTTCACCAACACCACAATTCAAGGGCATCGACTTGCGTTGGGCTTCCTTGTCCACTAGCACCTGAGTAGAGGCTCCTGGTGTCGAGCCGGGTGGGGTCTTCTGGCCATCTGGTGACCTCATACAGTGAGGGTGACCCTTGGGCCATCTCTCCTGGTGCTAGAAGCTGCTGGAAGCTCTTCCTGACTGGGACAGTCCTGGAAGATGGACTGAAGGCTTGGGAAGGAAAGGCTGAGAAGAAGTCCTATAAGTCAAGAATCCCACAAGTGCCACATGTGGGGCCTTGAGTCCTCAGCCTCGCCTGAACTGTGCCCCGCAAGTGTCCTTGGTGCTCCACTCCTGCGGGGTGTCCCTGCATCTCATGGAGATCCTCGGACAGGCTTGCTGCATCTCTGCGCTTAGGGTGCAGAAGGAGAGAGATGTTCCCACTATGGAGCCACTTCTCGGATCATGACGTCTTCTTTGAGGAAAGCCTCCTCCCAGAGATGCAGGCAGAAGTGACCATGCGGGTCACCTCATGCTCTGTGGTGACACTGGAACGCCTTTGATGTGCACTGAGTGCAAGGAGGGTCTCTCCCTCATGGTGTCCCCAGCCAGCTTATCCATGAGGTCCCTCCGAGGCCCCTTTCCTGGGGATGAAGACTTCTCTTTCATAGCAGGCCACCTCCTCCTGACACACAGGGCCCCTGCGGACCTATTCTCAGGACTGTTAGCCCGTCTAGTTCTCTCCTCTGAAGAGCCTCAATGACCTTCGCCCTGGCATCCCTCTGGGATTCCTGCACGGGCATCAGCTTTCTCTCTTCCCAGGAAGGTGGGGCAGGGGCCGGGACAAGCATCCACAGTGTGCCTTCCTGTTTTAGGAGGGGACCCCTCTTGGCCTTCCTGAGGTCTCTGCAGTTCATGGGAGTCCCTGAGGTGTGAATGAGCCAGGCTTGGTTTTTCTGGAGGTATGGAAACCCCTACCTGCTGCTCAGTTTTCAATGAACGCTGCAAGCATTCTCTCTCTCCCCTGACGCTCTCCTCTCCTCTCCTCCTCTCCTCCTCCTCCTCCCCCCGCCCCTCAGCACCTTGGGACTCTAGCAGAAGCTTCCAGGAGAAAGAGGTGGACAAGAGTTGCTGCTTTCAAGAGAGACACACTCACTCCCCATCTCTGCTGTCAAGTCAGAGCTAACTCATGGCTGACCCTCCAGGAAGAGGGACATCATGCTTGGGAAGGTGGACGGATGGTGACAGAGAGGAAGACCCTCAACAAGATGGATAGTGGCTACAGCAATGGCCTCAAGCGTGTCAGATGGTGAGGATGGCACAGGATATATAAGTCAAGGTTCAGATGTGTTGTTTATAGGGTCGCTATGAGTTGTACTTGAATCCATGGCACCTAACAAGAAGAGAGATAAGTTGACAGAGTGTGCAACTTTTCAGGCTATTAATGGAGAGAGGTCAGCAGTTTGAGTTCATCATCTGCTCCCTAGGGAACTCAGAGGACGCCACCACGTGTGGAAATGGACTGTTCAGCAGGAGGTTTGGTGTTCTGGGTTTAGGGTGAGGCAGGACTTGGCATAGCCACTGGGCTCTGCTGCTGAGGGGCTGACCAGGGCATCTGAGGGTGTCCACATAGCTCATGACCATGCATACTCTGGATGTGTGACTTGCAGTCCTGTGTCCCCCAGCCCCTGCCCTGATGTACCAGGTGGGGACAGAGCCCAGATGACTGGTGTCCCTCTGTCCAGGAAGTGCAGGCTGGACCAAACCTGCATAAAGTGCAGATCCTGGAAATTCCAAAGCTCACCTCCTCGATGGCCCATGAGGAGAGGTGTGGCCAGTCAGGAATGGCAGTGTCAGCTCCTCTCCAGGGCACCCTCACAGCACTGAGCCCTGTTCTGCCGAGGTAGGACAACACATGACTGCTAGCGTCTGACCCGAGATGCAGCTCAGGAGGCAGCAAGGGGCAGGAAAAAAAGGGCGAGTGGAAAGGAGGAACTCTGGGCAGAGGTGGGAAGGGCTCTGATGTGTGAGGGGATTGCAACTAAGACCAGAAAGCAGAGAGTGAACGCATTGTGGACTGGAGACGGAATTAGCCTTGTAAATTTTTCACTGACACCACAACAATAAGCATATCAATGACTACAACCAGATAACATAGCCCGCAAGCATATCACAAAGAGATATTTCAAAGCCACAGTCTGGCCACTGGGAACACGCAGAGCACAGCACGGGGCCCTAGGCAGCTGTTGACTGAGTCGCACAACCTCAGGTCCGCTTAGGACGGTGGTTTGGGTACCTCCAATGACTCAGCCACAGCCAACATCCCTGAAGGTGGTCCTCAAGACACAGGGCTGCACACTGTGGTCACTCCTGCTCTGTAAGAATAAGTGCTGACCACCCACTTGGGACTCAGTAGTGTCCAGCCAAAGCAGACCAACAGTGCCTTCTGTGCCCCGGGAGGGACTGACTCCATGCACAAAGGACTGTTTACACTGCCTCCCCCAGGCCAGACCATGGGGGACTCTGGAGTCCTGGAGGGTAGACATCTGCTGTCAGTGAGGCACTCAGGAAAGCGGAGCCCAGCCTCTCACTCCAACTGCCAGGGAACCAGTAGAGTGTACAGGAGTCCCGTCCCCACACTGTGGTCCCACGCCTATGCACCCCCCCATTCTTGACCACAGGCCGAGGAGATGCTGTGCAGAGGGCTGAGCTCATGCCCGCCTGCCCATGGTGACAGGCTAACAGCCTTCAGGAGCCCTGGCAGGAAGGGCATCTCCTCTCCCTCTGCGCGTTGAGGATGGGACCGAGCAGCCGATCACTCAAGATCTAGGTGGGACTCTGCTGTTCACACTTCCCAGCCTGCTCTCCTCTGTCCAGTGTGACCATGAACCCTGGGGTCTCCTCACCTCTCCCCAAGGACCCCAGGACCCACCCTCTTTCCCCATGGACTCGGGTCTGCTCACCTCTCCCCAAGGACCCAAGGACCCACCCCTTTCCCCCATAGACCTTGAGGTCTGCTCACTTCTCCCCAAGGACCCTAGGACCCACCCCTTTCCCCCATAGACCCTGGGGTCTCCTCACCTCTCCCCAAGGACCCCAGGACCCACCCCTTTCCCCCATAGTCCTTGCGGTCTGCTCACTTCTCCCCAAGGACCCCAGGACCCACCCTCTTTCCCCATGGACTCGGGTCTGCTCACCTCTCCCCAAGGACCCAAGCACCCACCCCTTTCCCCCGTAGACCTTGGGGTCTGCTCACCTCTCCCCAAGGACCCCAGGACCCACCCTTTTCCCCCATAGACCCTGGGGTCTGCTCACTTCTCCCCAAGGACCCCAGGACCCATCCTCTTTCCCCATGGACTCGGGTCTGCTCACCTCTCCCCAAGGACACAAGGACCCACCCCTTTCCCCCATAGACCTTGGGGTCTGCTCACTTCTCCCCAAGGACCCCAGGACCCACCCCTTTCCCCCATAGACCCTAGGGTCTGCTCACTTCTCCCCAAGGACCCCAGGACCCACCCTCTTTCCCCATGGACTCTG